GGGACCAATTTTTCATGACCCCCCCCCCCCCCCCTACAGCTACACTCTCCCCTTTCAACAATGTCTCCAAGAGCAAGTGGGCAGAGTCCCCTGCCATACCCGACCCGATCGTTCCCGTCTCGTTACAGTTACATCTGAAACTAAAGCTATAGCATTATCAAATCTAACTGATTTCTCTGGCAACCCCACTCCTACAGAACCTTATCCAACTCTTAATACTTGTACCGGAACTGTTTCTATCTCCCCAGCAAGCTGCCCTATGGATATCGATTGGTCAGATTGTGGAGAGTACTTACTCGGCTGCCTCAAAGACCGTGATGTGATATCAGTACATTGCTACTCCATTCCTCCAAGAGGTCATCGAAAAAAAACCACCATCATTACCAAAATTACTTTCCGTACACATGACCTTACCTTTCCTATCTACATTGGTGGACAATCCCTCCCTGTTCGACCATACCAACCTCTTCCCCGTCAATGTCAGAGCTGTTGGCGCTTTAGACAATCTGCCTAACACTGCTGTTCCACAGACCGATGCCCCTTATGTGCCCAATCCGGCCATAACCGATCAAACTGCCCTACACAAACACGCACATGTGCTAACTGCGGTGGCCCTCATAATGTATTTTATAGACTGTCCCATTTACAAGTTTGAGTCTGAGGTTGCAACTCTCAGATACAAAAATGGTCTCAATGCGTGAAGACAGACAGGAAGCATGCCGACTAGGTTTCTCTCATACTCCCTTCTCTAGTAATGTCGCTCGCTCTGTCCCTCCCCCTCCAACCCTGGATGTTCCTAGACCCTCCCCTATACTTACTTTCCCACCTCCACTTCTACTTCCTATCTTCCCCATTCAAATTCTTTTGCCACGCTAAGTCCAGACACTCCAATCTCAACTACAGCTCCAATCTCTACTGCCCCAACACCGTCCCTTCTTCCTCCCCGCACTACCCGCAGCAGACAGATTAACGTTCCACCCCTTCGTCTCCTACCACACACTCACCTTCACCTACCTTTACCTTTATTCCTCAAACACCAGTCTCCACTTCCCCTCCTCCTAAGAAAACCTTTGTCTCACAAGGCTCTCCAACCAAGTCCACTGGAGAAACCTTAGAAGATATTCAAAGCTATATGCTTGAGACAGATTTCCACAATTCATGCTCCCTCCACACTCCAAGTGACTGCCGATATCCATCCTCCTCCTACTCATATCCACCCTAGTCCTTCCTTTCTGATCGCTTCTAATTTGAAGATGTTCCACAAAGCAGTGTGGTCAGAAACACAATATCTCAATGCTGTAAACTGAGTTAGCCTTATTTGCCTCTGGCTCTTTCATACTGCTCTCCGTCAACTTCGGTGTTCTTAGGCCATCGGTTTTCTGCCTCTAAATATTTCTCTCTCCTTTTATCTTGTCCACATATAGGGCCCCAACTTCCTCTCACTCTTCATGATGTTCTGCTCCAATTCCACTCCCCTGACAATTTTTGACTCCAAGCTGGCAAGATCATATTCTTGCCGTCGCCTCCTGGGGTTCAGACCTCAAAACTCTCCTCCATCTCATTGCCCTGATCCTCTTCATACTTGATTGTGGCTACCATATATATTCTTCTTCCCCCATCACTCTCGCTCACCTCAACACAATCCTTCCCATTGTGCACCATCTTTAAGCTGGTTGGTGCGTGTCAGTGCACTATCCCTCTTTGCAGAGATGCTAATCACACTCAAGGCTGAAAAGTAGTCTGATGAGCCTATGGTGCTGAGAGAGTGACAAGTCAGAAAATTTTCTGACAGATCACTAACAACAGAATTGAATGAAGAGTCAGAATGTTTGTGGGAAAGATGGCATGATATGTTAATTCAAACACTGGCTGTAGTTCAATTGAGGTGTAGGGTTGCGTTCCTAAATTTACCTATGTCATCAACAACAACGACATGGTCACAAGAGTGCTATTGCAGTGGCTCATCGATGTGGACCTCTAAGCAGGTAGCAGAAGTCACCACGGCTGTTGACGAAGTCGAGGGCGTCGAGGATGTATGGGTTACTGTATAATGCAGGAAACTTCCATGATTGTTGGCTACATATATCAACTCACCCGCACACACAAGGCACAACTTTTAACTATATTTCAGACTTTTAAGAGCATTTGCTTACACAGTAAGTCTAGATTTCAATGGCAATCTTTTGGTAACAAACAGCAGATTAATTAGGAGTACGAACTTGGCTCAAGTCATAGACGAATCCAACAACTTTCATAGATCTCATGATAACAATACTGACACTATATGTGATCTCGAAGTAACTACCAGCCCAGTAGCAGATCACGAGATAAAGCTTAACATAAGTTGTATTACTTAACATAAGCAAACCAAAAAGAACCCTCTATGTAAACGTTTCGGTGCCTCAACAATTTCAGTTAAGTTTTTTTTCGGAATATATTGCTAAAGCAGGCTTCCGCTCTTAAGATTTTACATACTGATGACCTCAGTACCCATGTGTGAATTTTAACCGACACTTTTCAAAAATGTATGGATAATTGTGCACATGATATGAATAATCAGTGAAACAAAAACTCATTTAAAAAAGCTCACCAAACCTATTTTCTCAGTGAAGGAAAAGCGTGATAGGTTGTCCGTTTAGGGAAATGCGGAATCCGTATACTCTAATGTAAAATATAAACAGATATACACATGAATTCTTTTTTTTGTGTGTGTACACGTTACTGTTTTTGTGCTTGTGTTCACTCACACACACACACAACATTCATATATCTTTACAAGATTATCTTGAAACGCCAATACGAATAATTGCTGTGCAGTCTTCAGTACTTTGTCATATAAATTATTGCTCGAAAATATAGAGACTTACAAATAAAACTTACAGATTAAGAATTCAGAGACTGAAATTCCACTGCAAAGGTAACCGTAGGTCTAAAAATGTATGATCTGGCAACTCTCGTACTTTAGCAGCTAGATTAGCTCAAAGTGGATGATAAATGTGTTTGTCTTTAAAGTGATTTTCAACTCGATCATCTAGGTGTTTTTTTAATCAAGTAACTGATAGTGAAGTTAGAGGTCCAGTTGCAAGACAAATTTATAATCTATTAATCTCAAGGACTTAGACCACGGACACAACTGGTATGAAAATAGCAACGGTAAGAGGGTCTCTAGTCTGGAATAAAATTTCTTGAGATTAAAAATACGGGTTTTCTGTTTTTACACACTGATTGAGTAATGATATTCTATGTAAACATGATTCTTTCTATGAAAGGCTATCTGTGATCTACTCAAACGCCATTAATTGAGCATATTGATAATTTCTCTAGTTGGCATCCTGTGATCGTCATATATTTTAATAACTAGTATTAATATCCCAGAAATTTAGGATTTCTGGCTTCTGGTACCAGAGGCCAGACCCATATCGCTGGACATGGTACAGCGATGCGGGTAATGCTGCCGAGGAGATCGACCACATACTCGTTAGAACTCGTTGGAGGATCCTCCAGAACTGCAGGGTGTATAGGAGTGCCGAGTTCTGTGGTACTGACCATAGATTGGTTGTGGCTACCCTCCGGGTTCACTTCAAAACTCCCCAGCGGTCCAATGACCACCCTAGGGTGTTTCATCTGGACAGGCTGAAGGAGTAGGAGTGTACTCGGGGATTTGTTGAGGCAATCTCTGGTCGTTTCACAGCGCTCGAGTCTGACGACCCTGTACTTCTGTGGGACACCTTCAAGCGCGAAAAGCTTGATGCAGCCCAAGAGTCGATTGGTGAACGCTCGAGGACAATACAGAATTTTATCTCGCAGGAGACACTGGAAGCCACAGATGCTTGCCGTGCGGCTCATCTGACAGGGAATCGGGATTTGCACCGTTCTCAGGTGCGTAGAACTCGATCTCTGTTAAGAAGGGACAAGGCACAGTTTATTAGGAGTCTTGCTGAGGAGGTCGAAGGCCATTTCTTAGTAAATGACCTTCGGCCTGCATACCCTGAGAAAGCTGAACTCCAAGCCCTCTTCACAGGTGACAGCAGTTCGCATTGTAAGTGGCCAGATCGTCGTCTCAGATCCTGTTACTGTGCGGGAGCGTTAGGCTGAGTATTTTGAGCAGTTGTACCAGGTTGCAGTATTTATAGTGGACCGCTCTCTTCTACCAAAGATGAGCCGCCCCCCGAACCACATCTACCTCCGGCCTGCACAGCCACATGCAGTACACGCACCTGCTGCCATGCCGCACCACTTCTACGAGGTGCGGCGCCAGCTCGATGCTGACATCCGCAGGGAATTGAAGAGGTGCCTGCTGGGGAACCAACTAAGTGGTGTGCACGCACGGTGGTGGTGCCCAAGAAAGATGGGAAGCCACGCAGAACAATGGATTTTCACTCGTGATTGCTTGGAGCCTCAAGAAGACCCGCCTGTTCTTCTTTGGCTGACTTAACTTTAGTCACAGACCTCAAGGCCCTCACCAAAGATCTTCGGTGATAAAGAACTAAGGTCATAAACAACCCCCGTATCCATCCGTCCATCCACCCTCCCTCCCTCCTTTTTCCTGAAAAATAAAAGTTCTGACCATCCAATTAGTCTCATTCAATTCCAAAAGATGGCCAGGATACATCCAATCAATTATTTTCCTATTTTTGCTTATTTTTTCCATAAGAGCATTTTTTTCTACTTTCACGAAAATGCAGTAATATGAATACAAGAATAGAAGAATTGGATTGGGCATTCCCCAACCACCTGAGTGAAATAAGATCAGTAAAATCTTCACCATTAAGAAATTTTCTCTCGACTAACACTCACAAGGCATTCTCATTTCTATCTCATTTTTTCTATACTTTCTTGACTAACTAAAAACCAATGGGCCATTCTTCAAACAGTTAGAAATCATTACTCACTCCCCTTTTCTGGCAAAATATATGAAAATAAAAAAATAAAAAGGATATTGGTGTTGTGCAAGGTGTCTAAAATGAATAACATTTATAAAATTTGTAATCTTTATTTTTATAACAATTTATAATCCTTGTTTCTTCTTTACAATGAGAATAATCTTTATATCTTTAATTTCCAGAAAAAAATGAAATAAATCTGTAAAGTGAGATGACAGATTTTTTTTTTTACCATAATATATCCTAACTACATCAGAAAATCAAATAACTTTTCTTTATGACTCCAAAATATAAGTTTAAACATTTATATTTTTTGTGCTTTCAGCAACTTGTTTTTTTTTAATATTACTGCACTGAGCTACATGTTACAAAAGGTTTTATGCATCACTCAGCGCATTCCAAACATTTCAAAGTTGAATACATATTCAAGCTTTTCATCTCAGACATTGAATAAGCATACAGTAATATTTTTCTTGTGCAGAAATAAACACCTTAATTATTGCTGTAGAGTTTTGAACACCTCGTAACCAAAATAAAATGACATACAAACAATATACATACCCAAGCCTGTATATCTGAGTATACATTTGCACGTATACACATGTATGCAATATATACAGATGGTTTACATGTGTACTTTTTACATGTTCGTGCATGGGAAAAAAAGGACATGTGCACGCATACACACACGCATGCGCGTGCGCACTCACTCACTCACTCACCCACTCACTTACTCACTCACACACACAGGTTTTACAATTATTTTCCTTTATATCCATATCCTATACACTATGAACAACTTAGACTCTTTCAGAGAACTTCCTACCTAGTAACACTCTCCAAAATTTATTCCAATAAGGCACAGACTATCACGGCCTGGTGCTGGGCCTCTTTCAGCAGCTCCTTTCCTATATAGAATTCTGTGTAATGCCATCTTCAGAGAAATAAACAGAAGTACCTGTACAATCAAACATTTACATTACATTTCACTGTACAACTTAAGAAAAATCATGATCACAGTAGGTTTTCCCTTCTTTGAACAACTTTTCATCACATGAAAAGTATTGGTTGTGTCAGCACATGCAGGGACAATCTAGATGCAAAAAAACAAAACCTTACTACCTAACAACTATGAAAGCCCGAGACTGTTAAAGCCATTCCATAGGAGGGTTGCTGACCAGAAAATGCAATTCTGGCCATAAACACTAATAGGTTCTTCCATCACAGATGATTTGGTCAATCACCATTGCAGCACCATTCAAATCAACACCCGGAGTAAGATGCACCTATGGTTTATAGTGAACAAGCACTTGAGTCACTCTACACCTAAGCTTCTGTCTGTGTGGAAGAGGTTGTCAGGTCTGCTTCATTGTCACTTGGAGGTGTCTCTGGAGGTCCAGGAAGCAGCAGTCTAGGTGGGCCTTGTGGCCTTGACGGAGAATTGGCTACCCTCAGTACTGCCACAGCATCCTCTTCTTCTGTGAGATTAACACTACTCACTAACTTTTGCCTCTCCTTGCTTACTCCAGACCCACTAACACTCGTCACAAACACATTCTGGTAGGAACTGCAGCCAGGGCCAGAGAAGCCTATAGTAACTGGCCTGTGTGGCACAGTAACTTCATTACCCTGCTGAACACTGGACCGAGAAGGAGCACTTACATACACATTTTGGTGACTTACGGATCCTGATGGTGAAGTAACATACAAGTTCTGATGTGACCTTAACACAGAGGGTGAACTTACATACAAGTTTTGGTGGGATCTTGTACCTGATGTAGAAGATATTGCCAGATTTGGATGTGAACTTGACTCATTCCCTGAACTTACAAAACTGGGCACATATATATTTAACTGAGTCTTTGCTTCCCGATTCTCAGTTAGCAGAGTATGAGATCCTTCACTTCCATCTGAGGATTCCATCTCCGGTAGGTAAGTCCCACCAGCCACATTCACATTCACAGCCTGATGTTCTGGAACAACAGTTGTAGGCGTTCCTGGGACCTGGTAAATAGGTGGCTCTGGGGGACTGCCACACAGTGAATAGGAGCCTGGTTCAAAGACTGGTGGGTATTCCATGCCTGGGTAGTGTGGAAGGATCTGAAAGGAAGTATTTTAAGAGTAAGCTTAAATATGAAATCTCTTAATTTTTTACTACCGTGAGAAGACTTCATAAAAATAATGACTTTGTTAACATTTTGAAGGGCGCATACAGGGACACAAGAAGCATAAAAGACTATATGCATTGTGTATAGTAAAAAATTAACTTGCAAACCTCAAAGAAAGAAAGAAACCGAGTTAGAATCCAATGACTTCTTTCCTTTCAACTGGACATCTTGTTTCATTTTACCTGCCAAAGTTCTAAATTACAGGAAAAGAGGGATCATAGACAATCTCTTTACACTGAATTTCTAATATGAAATGAGTTTTCAGTAGCTAACTGTTGACAGTTCATGGCTGCAAACAAAAACTAAAGGAATGAACCCTACCTTCTGCTGCCGCAATTTGCCTGTCTTTGCCTTCATAAGTGAGCTGTACTGGTGAGCTGTGATTGGTATGGCTTGTGTGCCAGTACTGGTGCTAGATGATGCACACATTAGTGGTGGAATACTGGGGGAGAAGGGGGTTGTTGGCGAGGATGGGGGTGAGGAGAAAAAAACGTCACGGGGTGACAAGATGCCCGGAGTTCTGCGTTGTTTGCCTATCATGGAGACTCCCATAGCAGGCTGTGGGATAGAAAGGGAAGTGTTACTGTCTCACACCTGAGATGCCTCATGGGTGAAGTTCATTCACGTCTATGGAAATCATGAATCATATTTGTGTGAATCCACTCAATGATTACATCACTTTATCACTTTTGGGAACTGAAACATTTTGATAAGACAGGCACACATGCCCTTTTCCTTACCTCTCAACAGAAAGCATATGGCAAAAAAAAAATAATAATAATAAAAAAAAATAATAATCCAATTATGATTGTCCCTGATATAATACATTTTGTATTTTAAATTTTCCATAAAACAGGCCACTAATTTTTTTAAAAATTAACAAAACTTTTAGCAGGTCTTACCTTGAGAGGTGTTCTGAGTGCATCACTCTCTTCACTATGTGTGCGAATGGTGAGGTTTGGAACTTGCTTGGAAGTCCTTGCCTGGCCTGCCCCAAGGCTCAGCCCCAACTGTCCAAGACTCTGTCTCTCAGGTGATGCCAAGATCTGAGGGGAGGGGTAGCTTGGCAGTGAAGATGTTGACCTCGTGGAGGATGAGCCACTGAGACCAGAAGATGATGGTGGAGGCAGTGTAGAGGCACTGGTAGAGAGAACTGTACCAGAGGGGAGAGTGCGCTCACTGGGTGACAGAAACTTGGTCCTGGGTGGTACCTCTGGGCGAGGGGTGGACTGCATCCTTAGGGGTTCCCTTGGTTGTCTCTTTGGAGACACAACTGTGACCTTTGCTTCATTACCTTCTCCAAGGATATGAGGCTTACTACCTGTGGGGACGGACTCGGTCAAATTTGTCAAGTCGCTGGTGTAAATCTGTGATGTGTGAGGATCTAAGCTCAACTCAAAAGTAGCTTTCATAGGGTCCACCCTGTTGCGCATCTGAAGGGGATGGTAGAGTGCAGTCTGTTTCAGGCGGTCTGAGGCTGGAGCTTCTCCTGAGCCAGAGCGGGTTCTCCCATCTTTTTTCTCTGGGGATGCACGGCATATTAGTTTCTGTCTGGAGTGATCAGACCGTAGTGAGCTGATCCAAAGTTTTTCTGGAGAGCCTTCACGGTATTCTTCTGAGGCCAGTAAACTGCTGGTTGACCCATGTGAGCTTCGTGTGGGTGTGTGTAGTGGAGATATAGGTGGGGAGAGAGCTCTTGGTCGAGAAGAGGCCAGGCAATCCAGGGAGCCTCTTCTTGGTGATTTGGGTCGTAAGGGGGACTCCCCTCCAACACTGCCTCGCCTGCCACTCAAGTCCAGCTTGGAAGGGCTGGAACGACCACTTGGGGGTGGTGTGCCACTCCAGCGTCCATTGCCACTTCTGCTGGGGCTTCTGCTTGGGCTGGCACGTGTATCTAGGTCTACTGAGGAGGGCCTGGCTGGCATGTGGTGGCTACTGGCACGTGTAGGCAGCATATAGTGTGGGTACTGGCGTTGTGTTGCTTCTGTTGATGCAGCATTTACGTCCTGCACTCGCTGCTCCACAATGGAAACGTATACATCTTGGCCAGCCTCCTGCCCCATGGAGAGACTTGCCTTTTTCAGCACTCCCTCAGGTGGATGCATCACTTCATACTCCACGTCCTCTCTGCTGTCCTTGGGCTTGGGTAGGATTTTTGGCTTTGGCTGTTGCTGTTGATTTTGATGGTTTTGGTACTGTTGTTGGTGTTGTTGTTGTTGTGCAGGCTGACCATTTCTGCTTGTAACTTGCCGGCGTCGCTCCAAAGTCAGAGATGCTGGCAGCTGCCGCAAGCGGTCACGTAGGCTGTTCTTGCGGGTGACCCTGCGGGCAGTACTGGCATCTGCCACACTTGAAGTATCACCCTGTGGTGTCCCTGACAGCTCTGTCCGGGCACCGCCACGGAGGTCACCCGTCGAAGTGCTCCTGTTGCCACTTTCACTCACTCGTCTGCACAAAGATAGATCAAAATAAACCCTACATTTGGCTACCATACCTCACATTTAATGAGCAAATAAATGCTTTTGGGGGACCATATTTTTGCCAAAATCAAATTTAACCTAGTCTCTTTCACTCTTCCTTAAATACTGTAAATTATCAGAATTTACATGAGAGAAAGAGCCAGCGAATAGTTGATAACGATATGGACAAATATGAATGTAAAAGTGACAAGAAAAGCCATTGGAATTTTAAGGGAAAGAAGTTCGTAAGGTACACTTTACAAGACAAAGCAAGGGTGATTGAACAGCAGTGCTTGAAAATTATTGGTGATAATCCCCCTCTCCTTATCACATATTAAAGGATTATGATTTCCATACCCTTTTCATTTCTTTCACTTAATTTCATATAATGATATTTGAGAATGATGAACAAAGAAATTAGTTTTTTACTCTCAAACAAGTAAAACTGCATGGATTTTTTCCCATTACCTTTATTAATCACATTTAGCGAATTTCACATTTGAAAAGATATTCTTAGTACTAATTACATGCCAAATGTCAGACCTGCTGTACATCTTGCTTACTGTCCTAATTGTACAAAAGTATATCACAGAAAACATCCCACCTGTAGCTCCTATAAGATGCAGTAGGCACAGGTTGGTTGAGTGTATCACGTGATGACTGCAGGAACTTGAGTCCCTGGCCTTTAGCTGAGCCGAGTGTGGAGGTGATGGAGCTGAGGGGCTGAGAGCGCACATGGGGCCCTCGGGCCGGACTGGCTGAACCCCCCCGCCAAAGGGAGCTGCTCAACTCTTTGGTTGGGGATATTCTGTCATTGTGAGATATTTCATGAGAACATAATATTAATATTAATATGTTAAAAGCCATATAAACAGAGACTAGTACTAATGACAAAACAAAAATATAGAAAAATAAAAATATTAGCAAATACAATAAACACAGAATAAATCTAAGAAATAACAAAAGCAAATGACAATACACGAACAGAACAAACACAAAAACCATAAACCATAAACCTCACATCCACCAAGGGGGATCAACATACAAAACAAACTCTATTTACATGTAAAGAGGAAAAGAAAAGAACACAAAAAATAACAATAATAACAAAGAGGGTAGAACTCCATGGAGATAACGTGGCTTGGTGTCTTGAGGACTCACTCACTGAAGAGGACCTTCTTCATTGTATCAGCAGCATCAAGGATAAACAGAAATAGAACACTGGATCTTTTCCTTTTTTATTCTTCATAATACAAATATCCAACAGAGTTTAAAACTGGCTTAAACACGATAACAATATATAGTACCACAGATACATTTTTTTTGTCCTGGGTGGGCAAAGGAAACCCCATTTAATACATAAACTCCTCTCAAAGCATTATAGCTCTGACACAAATCAACTGTCTACAAAACCAAGAAATATATATACAAGCCAATACCTACAAGAAGTATCAATATATATTCCAAACCATTAACAAGCTCATTTTGAGGTAATGTGAGAGAGCAAGAAAAGTTTTGATTTTCTAGCCAATATAAATTTAATACTGGTGTCTTTTAACTTGTCCAACTCACTAAGCAGTTGCACAAGAATGATTACAAAGTTATATAATATTAGAAATAAATTGTCACTATGTCAACTGAACAGATATATATATATACTCCTTTCACTAAAAATAAATCATATAATACATGAAATAGTAATACTCACAAAATACTGCTCTTTTCTAGATATAAACAATATACAAAAAAATGCAGTGATAACAAATAATTCCAAAAATTATCTTACAAACTCCCCATTTATCACAAATGCTAACAATTACTACAATTTTATTCTATACTG